ACATTCTATATAATCTGCTTTTAGAACTTCATTTTTAGGTAACAGTTTATTCAGGCTTTTCTGATATATCTCTTAAATCTAAAAGGAGAAACATGTTGGTAGATATCCTAAAGTGCCATTCCACCACCAGCCCTGCTGTGGCCGAGAGTCTTTGCTTGTGTAATGAGAGAAGATTAGGGGTGGAATAGAACCCTTGGAATGTAGCTACTTTAGTATTCCTGTTCTCACTTCTCCATCACCATTCTGTCAGTTCTTAAATATCCTGTAAGCTTTTTCACCTACTAGGCTGTTCCTCTGTCTCATTGGTTACGATTCTGTTACATGGATTTTCTTTTCTTTTTTTTTTCTCTTTTTAAGATTTTATTTATTTTTTTGACAGAGAGAGACACAGCAAGAGAGGGAACAGAAGCAAGGGGACTGGGAGAGGGACAAACAGGCTCCCACTGAGCAGGGAGCCCGATGTGGGGCTCCATCCCAGGACCCTGGGATCATGACCTGAGCTGAAGGCAGCCACTTAGCGACTGAGCCACCTAGGCGCCCCTACATGGATTTTCATAGACAAGTAGGCTGGTAGATTTAAAAAGTTAACTTTAGCATTATTAATCTTTGATTATATTCAGTAAGAATGAACTTGTTCTAGAAGTTTCTACAATGGGCATTGCAGCTCTACAGTGGGCATTGCATGGGTTTGTTTTGGGGGTTCTGATAGGGGAAATAGTATTACTTACTTTTGATTATAAATCTATAAACCCAATGGAAGGATTAAGAGGGATAGCTCTCTGGACCATATAGTACACTTAGTTTTGCATTTTCTGGGGGAAAATAAATTTGCTACTACTTACTTGGTATGACTTTGTAAGTTCTGTTAGATAGAAGTGACTTAATTTGGAAGGGACAATGCCATAATTGGTTTTTCCCACTGCCATCTTTGAGTACATAATAAATACATTCCTGAAAAGTTTGATATGTATCACGTTGTGTTAACTGTTTCAAAACCCCTCTAGTCACAATATATTAAGTCATGGTAATGAGTCATTTTACAAAACAAATTCTATATTTTCAACTGTATAAATATACAGTGAATTAAACTGTGTAAACAATGCATGGAGTAATAGGTTTTTTTTTTTTTTAAAGGATAATTACAAATGCATTCTTATAGATGAGCTTTAGGCTGAATTCTAAAGGAACAGCAAAGGTAGGTGGGAGAAGTTAGTGGAGTTGATGTGAAACTTTGAGAAGAGTGTAAAAGTAATCACATGGGTTTTTCAGTGTAGCAGTCATGGTGCAGCAGGCATCTCCTGCTTTCACCCCTGAAGACAAGGGCTTCCTGGGACAGGCTTCCTGCCCCGTATGAAACTAGAAATTGGCCACCAGTCTTTATAGAGTTTCTGTGTTACTATGTGGACTCAGTAGCTGATACATTACAAGAAGTGATAATAAGAGGGTGAAACATTTCTCTGCATTTGATGATTCTGAGGGCACAGGAAAATGAGAAACTAAGCTATTGGTATATACTTCTTTTTCTTGCTCTGCTTTCCTTTCACTGAAGGGGTATGGATTTTATTTCAGAGGGAATGTACCTATCCTGTCTTAGCCCAATGGTGACACTTGGCTCCTAACAAGTGTACCTGTGGGGAGGGGTTTGGTTGTCACATTGGAGAATATGGGAGGGCTTTCTCTCTCCTGGCCTCATTTATAAGCTAGGGGTTGCTTCCGTTTGCTTTGTGTGCTATTGAGTTTTCTCTGTTTTCCCTAAGCTAAGCTCTAAGCGAATTCTATACAAAATAAATACTAATTAGTTGTTTTTATAAATTGCTTGCCTTAATGCCTGATAATATGCAGTAAAATAAGGATTCCGCATACCATTATATATGTCAAATATTACAGAGTTTAAGGTTCTTTTAATTACGATACTAAACTCAGTTCACTTTTGCTTAGCCTTCACAGTTGTTGATCACATAGCATGGTCATCCACTCACAGCTTAAAAAAATACAGGGAGCATCGGAGAGAATGGGTAAAGTAAAATTTTGATGTTTTTAAAATAGCACCTAAATCTATGAAAGTTTATTTGATTTATTGTTTGTATGGGAGGGAGAGGGTGGGTGGCACTGGGGGGGGGGTGGGTATTGGGAAAATAGCATGCACCATGTAAAATGATGTCAGATACCATCTAGGCTGAAGTTTTAAGTGTTACTACTACTGTTTAAGTCAGTTTCAGAAGAGGCAGGACCATAAAATAGCAGTGTTGGGATTTACAGTGGGCTTATTTTTCCCTCCCAACAAACTGAAGAGGTTTTGAGCATAGCAGTATTTGAGTACATTCTGGGCTGGAGCTGCCTTTTTAGAGTGGCCTATCTGTATTCTCCAAGTGTAACTGCTTCAGTACCATGTTAGGTCCTGTTAACTTGTTGAGAAACTTTGAGAGGAATAATAGGCATTCCAGTTTTTGTTGGTTTACTTGCAACTCAGGTGTTCCCAAATACAAATTACAATGTATGAAACTCATGAAGGGGTTGAACCAAAGAGAGAACTAAAGAAAGTTGTTACTCTGATATTAGTTGCTTAGTAATAAATATTAACAGAAATTTTGAGGCTTCCATTCAAATGAAGAACACTTTGCCTACCAAAGTTCCAAATCAAGTTACTAATTCTAAAAACTTGGGTTGTAGTTATGTACAAAGCCTAATTAATAATTGTAGAGGTTACAGGGTAGAGAAACCTCCATGTTTTTATGGGTAGGACATTGTATTGCTGTAACTCAAATAACTTGGTTTAATATCTGTCCTGTTATTTTTAAACTTTTAAAACTTTGTTTACACACTAAAAATCTGGATTGAAGAAAAAAATCAGGTTTTACTCAGAAAATACTATTCTGGCCCTAGCTTTGCTATTCTTCTACATGTAGCCATTTGCCAAAGCCAAATTTGACTTGGAGTATTTACTATTCCCTGAATCTTTCTGCCTACATAAGCTTTGTTAAAGATAATACTCCAGTTTGAAATGTTCTTCTTCTTTCCTGTGGTCTGAGTCCTCTTATCTTTTCTTTAAATTTTGGCTTCTGCTTTTTGTATGAAGCCTTTTCTAACCTCTCCATCCTTGGTGGCCATTCTACTCTTAGAATTCCTGAAGTACTACTGTTAGAGACATCCATTTGGCTCTTGGGTCATGCTACCTTTATTGTTATTTCATTTAACTGTCCTATTTCTCTGTCAACATCATGGACTCCTTGAAGGTAGAGAGCTTGTAATTATATGCCTATTTGTAACCCCATTGACTAGCACAGAGGATATGTGCACTAAGAGGTTTGATTCTTTCATTTGGATCCAGTGTTAGTGAAAGAGGGTAACTGTTTTTTTGTTTTTGTTTTTGTTTTTTAACTCAGGTTATTTTTATATGAATATGTGCCCAGAAAATCCAAAGATAAAATATTTGAATTCACAAAGTAATCCTTTTTATTAAAAGATTTGGTTCATAATTGTTTTCTATTAATTGTAGTCTCCCCCCCCACCTTTTTTTAAATGGGCGCTGCTTTACCTAGTTTCTTTTGAAAAACATGGTTTGGGCCAGATAACTTGATAAAAACCAAAATTACCAGTATTTTTATTTTAAAATTCTTTGTTGGTTTAGCTATATTATGCGTTTCATGGCATAAGCCCAAATAAGTTTATTAAATACTGCATGGTAATGTAGTCAAATTATTTTAAGATGTTAACCTTAAAGTCTCTTAAGTAAAACTTTAAAAATACCAATTACCAGATACTTAGTTGCTAGTCCATCTTGGGGTATTTCTGCATCTGAAATTATTAGCGGTTTTATTATTTCTTGGTCTTAGAGGTTTTTGTAATGTGTAAGCTGTTATTTGATAGCTGTATTTATTGTGTTTGCAGTTATCAAATGTTTATAGAGCAAGCACTCTTTTTTAAAAAAATATTTATTTATTTGACAGACAGGCAGAGATCACAAGTAGGCAGAGAGGCAGGCAGAGAGAGAGAGAGAGAGAGAGAGAGAGAGAGAAGCCCCGCCAAGCAGAGAGCACGACTCGGGGCTTAATCCCAGGACCCTGGGATCATGACCTGAGCCAAAGGCAGACGCTTAACACGCTGAGCCACCCAGGCGCTTCTAGAGCAACCACTCTTAACGCAGTGAGAAGTTACTTTAAAATGCTTCTTGGCATTTATAGAAATAATGCTTTTTGTAAGAGCTCAGTAGGGATAATGTTTGCTAAATTCGTATTTGGAATTGTTTATATTGTACCTGATAGCTGTGTCTTCAGGGCACGTATATCTTAATGTTAGACTTAATGTTGTGATTTCTGAGGCAAAAACAGTCGCCCTACTTCATAAAATGTTTGACTAGTAAAACTTCTAAGAACCTTGGTATTTTTCTGAGGCCTGGTTTATAATATTGCTGAGCCATTAGTTTGACATAGCATTGAAACAATATTGTTGTTGCATGCTAAAAAGCTTAGATATTATAGTAGTTAGAATCCTAGATATGTAAGGGTCTTTTTTTTTTTTCCTATTTAAAAAAGTTACATCATCTTTAAAATTCTTAGCGTAATTTGGGTACAGTTTAAAAATAAGACATTTTTTTTTCATACATGCCAGTAAGCAAAAAAAAAACCTAATATATAGCATTGCCCTTCTGGTGCTGCTTATTGTAGTACCATTCTAATGTGAATTTAGGCCCGGCCCTCACCAAAGTTTTAATGAGATAATATCTTTTAAAAAGCATTTTTTTAAAACCCCTCTTGGCCCAGAGACCATTTCCCAGAGTTTCAGCATTGGACTTTTTCCTGTGGTCAGTCATACTCTTATGTAGGGTTACACTTGTTAAGTCAATATTTTGAAAAAACAAAACACCCTGATTTTGTTCACTTTTGTTTTCATATACAAGAATCTTTACAGTCAACATGTACTTCTAGATGCTGTATTGAAATTGCTGGCAGAGTCTATTCTATACAAACTGAACAATCTGGCCCCTTGTTTTATTTGTAAAGGTTCAATGTATCTATGCCTGCCTACTTCAATCTGCAAGGGAGTGTCAGAAAGGCCCCGCATTCGCCGAGCCGTGAGTTATCACTAACTTTTCAGATGTGTTAATGAATGTGGAACAAAAGCAGTTGTGTTTAAAAGGAAAAACGGACCATCAAAATAACCTTTATTATAGTAGCAGGCGTGAACACTAAATGATTTATTCCAAATTGTGGTGTCAAAAATAACCTACTTTAACTAGAGATTAGCCTCTAGAAAACCTATTGTTGAACTGCTCTGAAGCTATCATTTTAGCTATAAATTACTTTTCTTAAATTTTATATACCCTGATTACAAATGAGAATTTTCTTTAAGTCTTTTTAATGGAGTTAAAACAATTTGAACAAAATCTTACGCCACCTAAAAATGACATATTTAGTTGACTTCGCATTAAGTTCTTCAAAGTAATGTCATGTCCATGTGAAGTAATGTCAAAGTCCATGTGAAAGGGGCAAAGGTTTAACCTTTCTGTTATTCACATGTGAAAAACAAATTGATTTAAATAATTGAATCACTTCTAGATGAGTTTTTGGAGTGCCCCAAGCATCATGTTAAGTACAGAGGTATTTACAATCTCTTTTGGTACCAACAGTTCTCGCTTCAGTAATTCATCAGTAGGTTTTCATTCATCAATGATGATATCAATTTAAGGCTAAAATAAAACACCTACATTTCTTAGGGCTTATCATTCTACATAGAAAAAATGTCCTTAAGAGCTTTTTTTTTTTCCTTTTCTTTTTTTCCAAAGAGATTCTAAGCAAAAAAATTGTAACTAACATCTATATTTTGTTACTAGAGCTAGTTACCTTTCTTTTTCTTAGACTCTTTAAAGTTTGAGTTAGATAGGCATATTTGACTAGGAGGTTGGATGCTTCTGTTGCTTAGGAGGTGTATTGTGTTATATGAAGACAGAATAAATTTAAATGTACCGGGTTTGGCCATGTGTAGCACAGACCACCTAAAATTTGAAGGTATGGTACCTTTGGAGGCATTAAAGTTAACGTTTCATTTAGGCAATGTGCCTTTGTCTGACTGGTGTGTAAGTCCTTCTTCCAGGTTTGTACACTCTTAAACACGCTATTCTACCCTCTCTAACTCATCCCAGCAGCAAAAGGGAGACACTTCAGCTGGAACAAAATAGTGGAAGAAATGGCGTCTGGGGTTCAGTGGGGATTCGCAGTGTGTATGCAATGTTTGCAAGATTACTTTTTATGTTTTTCAATTAATGTAAATAATTACAAAATAAATCTATGCTTAGTGTCAAGTAGGGAACACTGTATACCAGTAGAAACTTCCTTGTGGGTCTGCTGCAAGTCGCTTAACCTCTTGGGGCCTCAGTTTCATCATCTGCAATGTAAAGGAGTTGGACTCCATAATCTTAAAAGTCCATTCCTGCTCTGTATCCTATGCTTTCCTGAAGTACTTTGTTTAACAGAATGCATTGCTTTCCCACTTTGACTATTTGAATTACATGTGCAGTACACATACTGCAACTGCATGTCTAAGATAGTTTTTCTGTAGGATATTCTATAAAAAACTAATCCCTCTTGAGCTGATTTATAAATAAATATATGTGTGTATAGCCACACAGAAAAAGCTAGCGATAGTAGGGCTCTCAGAAAATAAGTATTTTTTAGTTGTCTAACCTTGAATGTTATTAACTTTCCTATATTACAGGAGATACTACTCGTCAACGAATCAAGTTCAGTGATGACAGAGTATGCAAGAGTCACCTTCTCAACTGTTGCCCCCACGATGTCCTCTCTGGAACTGTACGTAGTTATTAAATTTACTGTTTGATTATTGGTATCCTACAGAAATGAACTACTTGAAAAAGACTTAATTCCTTGTCACATTATTATCTGATGATTTTTTAAAAAGGTTTAGCAGAGGGATTTGCATCTCTTATATTGTTTATTGAAGTTGATGATTTAAACCTGCAAAAATGGAATTCCTCCAAAAAGTCATTGTTATCCTTTACTTTATAATTATTTCAATTCTTCAGAGAAATTTTTGAAAAAGCACTTCTTATTTGGAATATAGAGGCAATTTTTATGCTGTAGTTGCACTTTCAGTTCTGAAATTACAGAAACAACTTTTTAAAAATAGTTTACTGTTGATCAGAGTAGACTTAAGTCTAGAGCATTGTATGTTTAGATTTGTGCACATTATATTGTGGAAGCCAGAGAGAGGAAAACATAGTCGCAATTACTTAAATTCACACAACTTAATTTGCTAGTAGTGTCTCTTAAAATGCATTTATATTCCTGACTCCAATAATGTAAAGCTTACTTAATTTAGATTCTATATCTAGTGATGTTGGTTGACCTTGGAGTATTGTCATTTTAATTTGAAAGCTAAATCACATGGTGATGGACCTATTTAAATGGAACAGAGGATCTGATTATCTGACTTTGGGGTTTGGTTGAAATGATTACTCAGTGCAAGAGCTTTCCTTCACAGGCTACATGTGGTGGTGGAGAAAGACTAGTAGGAGCTAAACATTTATCTGGCTTTATTTCTCATTTGTCTGAAATGACTGAAATGAAGAAAGATTTCTGGTCCATTTTCAGACATGATGAGTTCCTGTAGTTAAAGTATTCTAAATGAGTGGTTTCTTCTGGATAGGAGAAGTTAAATAGCTCTAACAGAAATCAAGGGTATGTACAATAGGAAACACCTCAGTCTTTTTCCAGTAGGAAAGACTGTAAAACTGTATTAGGTTAAAAGAAAGAAAAACCGTAACCCTGCATTTAAAAGTATATGTGATAGCTAATTTTTTTTCTAAGTGCAATAATGTAACCCAGATTCTGAGCACTCAACTTAGAACTATGATAGATAATTGACCCTAATTTCTACTCTTTAGAGTGTCCATAAAGTATTTTCTGCTGTACTTATAAAACATTTGAAATCCGTAAAATGTATAATTATCTGTAGTATACTTTGATTCTCCACATTTACTATTAAATTTAACAGTCATTTTAGTTAATGGCTAAATTATCACTTCAAGTAATTTTTGAGAACAGGATTAATTAACAGAGTGACAAAGTTAGTTTTTTTATTTTTTAAAACTATAAAACCAGCCATAGCAAGTGTTATACTCTTCAGGTTTGCCATTAATAATAAAAATCTGGCATCACAGTAGTGCTTTAGGTTTATAATGTACATTTGCATTTATGTTCATTTTTTAAAAAAATTCTATTTATTTGAGAGAGAATACAAGTGGGGGTGGCGGGGGGAGGAGCAAAAAGGGAGAGAGGGACAAACAGACTCTGCACTGAGTGCCTAGCCCATTGTGGTACTCGATTCCATGACCCTGAAATCATGACCTGAACCAAAACCAAGAGTCATGTTTAGGGGCACTGGGGTGGCTCAGTTGGTTAAATGTCCAACTCAGGTCATGGCTCAGGTCATGATCTCAAGGTCTTGGGATTGAGCAGTGTGTCAGGCTTGGTGCTCAGGGCAGAGTTCGCTCCGGATTCTCTCTTTGCCTCTCCCCTCCACAACCACACTCCTTTGCTTGTGTGTGCACGCATACTGTCTCTCTAAATAAAATAAAGCACAAGCTAAATAAAATAAAGCATAAGCACAGGGGAGCTGGAGAGGGAGAAGCAGGCTTCCCGCTGAGCAGGGAGCCTGATGCAAGGCTTGATCTCAGGATGCTGGGATCATGGCCTGAGCCCGAGGCACAGGCTTAATGACTGAGCCATCCGGGTGCCCCAAAACAAATGAAATCTTAAAACTGTTTTATGATCCACAGTTAGCTTTAATGATAGTAGGTGAGTATTCAAAATCCCATAGTTCTATTGATTTAAAGTACAATTGGGACCAGACTCAAGTTTTACTCATCATGTTTTCTACTCTGTAGGGGATACTTCATTTTTTATTCTTTTAAATGAAAAAGGATGAGTGGTTGGTCTTAGACTTTCCTTTTTGTAAGTTCTTGCCTGGTGGATTTATAAGATGCAGATTTTCTCAAATCTAACATCTCTGAAACACATTTTAAAATGATGATAGAAAAATATTAATTGGTAACATTTTCTTATGGTACAGAATTGAATATTGTGGCTTAAAATTGTCAGCGCTTGGATTATATTAAAAATGGTTAATGAAAACCCTTTTATAGGCACTATGCCAGGGAAACTGGATGAAAATACCTCTTTTTTGTCAGTGTAATAGACCTGAGATTGCCTTATGTAAAGATGATATTAAGAAGTTGTGAACCTCTGTGAGAATTGAAACAGAGCTTGTAGAGATGGCTGTGGGACTTTGTTAAGACTTAAGGGTTAGAGAGTGGTCTCCTTGATAACTCAAAACCATACATGGTGTTACTTTCTCATGACCCTTATTAGGAAAAAGCTATTTATAACAGTTCATCCTGTGTACAAATGGTTTATAATTACAGACTTATGACTTACTTAGCAACCAGTCTCTCTAGAACTACTTTTTTGGCACAGTCTAACAGTTCATACCTCTTTATGTTGAAATGCCTGTTTCTCTTTTTCTTTCTTTTTTAACATGTTAGATGAAAAGAACTGAATTATAATTTGATTTTATAATGTTTTTTCTTTGTTGTATAACTAAAGTTTACCCTTTTCCTGAGATCTGTCACTTCCAGCAGAATATCACTCACCAATACACTAAATTAATTAGCAGAAGAATACACAGAAGTATATTTTCTGGCATTTTTGGAGATGGAAAGTCTGATTTCTAAAAATGCAGTCATGACTAACTATTGTATGAAGTATTTTTGGAATTCAGTTTGATGAAAAATGCTCCATAATATTTTACCTTTCATTAGTCTGATACTCTGGTATAACTGATACATAAGTTAAGAAGTCAGGAGGTCAGATGTAGAATAGAGATTGAAAATAATGTACATATGTATTTTTGGGTTATGGTTTTTATAAGCATGACTTTTCTTGTAACTGAGGAAGCTTCTTTATTTCAAAGGCTTGTGTTATTCCCTTAGTCATTGAGAATATTGTTTTAAGTCTCATTCTTTTCCTCCTTTTGGCACACTTAGTTTCTTATTCTAGTCACTGTGCAAAGAGTAGGCAGCACCCCTTTCAGATTTAGCTTCTTGTGATCTGGGAAAAAGGTGTGTAGTAGTAATATTTTAATTTATATATTTATGTATGTATTTATTTTTAAAGATTTTATTTATTTATTTGACAGAGAGACACAGCAAAAGAGGGAACACAAGCAGGGGGAGTGAGAAAGGGAGAACCAGACTCCCCACTGAGCAGGGAGCCCAATGCAGGGCACTATCCCAGGACCCTAGGATCATGACCTGAGCCAAAGGTAGATGCCTAGCAACTGAGCCAGGTGCCCCTGTAGTAGTAATAATTTAGAGGCATTAAATATAAAGCAGAGATGGTAACAGAAGCTTGAAATTGAGGTCTGCAGAGGTGAAAATGTTCACTCTCATGATGTGCCTGTCCTGAAATCAGAAATGGCCACTACTAATTTTATTACAGCCTTCATCAAGTATAATTGTAGGGTTGACAGACCATCATGTATTGTAATGTAAGGTCATCATTTCATAGGTGGGAAAAATTAAGGCTCAGAGAAATTGTGCTTGTCAGATGTCTCACAGAGAATTACAGTATATTATATAACACAGGAATCTTAGAGGTATTTAAATCTAAATACTTTAAAAAATGTTTTTGTGGTTTTTGTTAGTTTTTTATATAGCACAGTTACTTAGGTCAGTGACTTTCAAATGTTTCTGAAGCATCCTTGGAGGCATTTCATGCCCTATGGGGACTGGCCAGTCTTTCCTATTTCAATAGGAATTTTACACATTATAGGTATAAAGATTTTCCATGAAATTTTGTTTAAAAAGAGATTCTGCTGCTCAGAAATTGAATTTAAAGTTTAAAATTGAGGGACACGTGGGTGGTTCAGTCGTTAAGCATCTGCCTCTGGCTCAGGTTATGATCCCAGAGCCCTGGGATCAAGCCCTGCATCGGGCTCCTTGCTCGTCAGGAAGCCTGCCTCTCACTCTCCCACTCCCCCTGCTTGTGTTCCCTCTCTCGCTGTGTCTCACTCTGTCAAATAGCTTAATAATCTAAAAAAAAAGGTATAAAAAAATAAAGTTTAAAATTGAGAAATCGAGACAAAGATAAGTAGGGTTATAGCCTACTTGTTTTTTTTTTTTTTTTTTTTTTTTTAAGATTTTATTTATTTATTTGAGGGGGAGAGAGAGAGAATGAGAGGAGAGATGTCAGCGGGAGAAGCAGACTCCCTGCTGCTGTGGAATTTGATCCAGGGACTCCAGGATCATGACCTGAGCCAAAGGCAGTCGCTTAACCAACTGAGCCACCCAGGCGCCCCTATTTTCGTATTTTTTAGCAGTTCTTAGCATCAGTCCAGATAACTGGCTTCATTTTTTTTTTTCAATTTACATGACAAGTAAATTTCCAGAGCTCCCCAATTTGTAAAAATGCCAGTTTTAATGCACCCAAAGTTTTACCAGTTTTTTTTTTTTTTAAGATTTTATTTTTTTTTTGTCAGAGGGGGAGAATGTGTAAAAGCAAGGGAACAGCAGGATGAGGGAGAAGCAGACTCTCTGCTGAGAGTCTATCCTAGGACCCTGAGATCTGGCCTGAGGCAAAGGCAGACTCCCAACTCACCGATGCCCCCCAGGTGTCCCTAGTTTTGGCTTTTGATTTATATTTTATGTCCTTTTATTAAGCAGATTTTGTGATTTGTGTTTTATTCTTCAGTTACAAAAATGCATTCTTTTAATAAGCATTTCTAGAGATTA